GAGAGAGAGAGAGAGAAATTTCAAAACGAGAAGGAAAAAGATTTTCGGCGAGCTTCCTCACCGATTTCGTCTCCGGTGATTGATTTCGTTGTTTCGTACCGATTCCAAAAAATTTACTCGAACCACGCGTATCTTCGCGCGTTGGAAATCGAAAAGTCTCTAACGACTTTCGCCCCTCTCTTCTCTAACAGTGAACGTTTTCAAAAAGGCAGCTCTTAAAAAGAAATAAAAAGTATTCAATCTACTACCTTCTCATCCGGTGTCGAAGAGTTACACGCATCTTGAACCATTTAATCATGGCGGACAGTAATGACACGACGTAAACAGTGAAAAAGAAACTCTCGTTTCTCGCGTGTGTTACATTCTTCCTTCCCTCCCCAATAGAAAGAATCGTCCCGTTGATAAAATCTCTTCCCTTCGTTAATGGAAAAATAAAAAAGGGGAGACGACGGAGCAGCGGGGGAAGAGATCGATCCTATGGAAGTATCTTGTAACTCAGTTGGGTAAACTCTTTAGGAAACAGGAAATTGTTAGCCCGGCGTGGAAGGGCGGCCAGGGAGAGAATGATCGATAGGTGACGGTGGCCGATAACTGGAAAACACGGAAGAGGGGGCGGGGGCGTGTTTCGGTATGAACGATGGCAACGACGTGATCTCACTTATCGGGGCAACCGTATTACCCTGGCATCTTTCTAACCACCACCTTTCTCCCTTCTCGTTTCTTTCGCGGCGGTCGTTAAGGAAATACGGGATATCGCGACTCTTCCCCTCTCCTCCTCCTCCTCTTCCTCCGTTCGTCCAATTCAATTTACGACGACGTGGCCGATTCCTCGCGTGGACGAGAGCGAAGTGGACGAGATTCGATTTCGAAAAAAATTTGAACGAGAGAGATACGAAATGAAATTAAGATATGAAACCAATCTAGTTTAAGGAAAATTTGAACGTACGTAAATTTCTTACTTTTCCAAAAGACGATACGTCTGTTCGAGATCTAGGAGCAAGCGATGAACCACAAACTGTCATAATACACCCCAAGAGATCCTAAGAGTAACTCGAAATTTCCAAAATTTGTTTAAAAATAAAAGCATCTTGACTAAAGAAAAGAAAAGAATTCGTCGATCGATTCTCGCTCGTTCCAATCGAGCAAATTCCACTCGATTCTAAATCTTCCGCGTGTACCGCGTTCAAATTCAAATTGGAGGGAAAGGGGAATTCTCGTTTTATGGGATCTCGCGGGTAAAATTAGTTCACTACTCACCGAGGTCCTCCGCCGATGTCTTCCCGACGAATAACACCGGGGCCCGTGTCAAACGACCGTTATTATTGCATTTCGAGAGCAGAGCGGCCATTGTCAAGTTTGTTAGCAGCGCACCGTTTGCCCAACAATTAACGGCTGCCTCGAACCGAACGCGAAGAGACGCGCACGTGCTAATTACCGCCACCGGTATCGAGCCAGGTTGACATTTTGCGTCTCGCGTGGCACGATCGGAATTTTTACATTTCACGCAGCCGGGGGACTGGACGGGGATTTTCGCGGTTGGACGAGAAAATTTGGATCGATTCGATAATTCGAGTTCGAGGAAGCGAAATTTAAAGATTTATCGAGAGGCGAATGAGATCGGAATGAAATTCGGATCGACGAATAAACGTTGAGGATCGATCGAACGATTCTTTCCCTCTATCTGGGACGCGTATCGCTCTTGTCGTTAACCATGTTGTTCGAAATTCAAAGTTGCGTCACGTGACGAGAAAAAACGCCCCTGTTCAGAGGAGACATTCTCACGAATCGCGTGAAAGAGGAGGAAGGTTTCGCGCGAGCGTTGGAAATTTTTTTCGAAAAAGTTCCTTCGATACCTTTTTCATTGGCCCCACGTGCCGATTACATCCGATATAAAGAACTCCCTTATCCCCAACTTTCCAACTTTCCAAACTTTCTTCTTCCACGCGCGTGGAAGAGAGGAGAAGGAAAGCAAAAAAGGAGAAAGGAAAGGAGAGGAAAGTTTGAGCGAATTCACTGCGCGAATTTATGAAACGAATTTAACGAACATCGAGATCGCGAAAAGTACCGTTATATATATATATATATTTTTTCACCCACCGTGGTCAAAATAACTCGATCGAAACGATAATTTGCTCGACTTTACACGTCCATCCGTAGCAAACGTCAAACGGACTCACGGTTCGATTACCACGTACAGTCTAATTCGACGCCTGTGTAATAGAGTGTTTTGATTTCCAGTTAGTTCAAGAGACGAAAGAAAAGAGAAAAAGAAAATAACTGTTCCCGAAAAGAAGAGGGGGAGGAAAGGGGAAGTTTCTCGAAAGGTTTCTCCCCGTCGGGTAGGGGAGCAGGAGAATTGGAAAATTGGGTCGCGTAGCGTAGGTGGAAATACGCCCGCCGGAATTCAAGTTCCACTCGCACGAGAAGAAGTCGCTGCTCTCTTTAAGCAGGAAAAATTAACGCTTGTCCAGCGAATTTCGAAAGAGGGGGAGGGGGATGATTGGGGGGGCGAGGATTGGTCGCTTTATTAACGAGGCAACCGTGGACAATCGATGGTTCTCCTCTTAATATCGGTTCCGAGGATGGAATCGGCGGTGGAAAGCGACTTACTTTTGACGAGAATTTTGAGAAAACTTGCACGAGCGGGAAAAACTTGTTCGGGATAGAATTTCCGGGAGATTGAATGCCTCGTCTTCGCGTCGCGTTGCTTTCGTAATTTGTTCGGGAGGGGGAGGGAGGGGAAAGTCCCGTTTTTATTACGAAATGCTCGACGACTTGAGAGATTTCCGTGCGTTCCGAAAACTCCTTTTTTCGAGTCGCTCGGTTTCCTTAATTCAACTTTCGAAGAAGGGAGAAGAGATTTCCATTTTTGTGCCATGTTTCGTCTCGTCGATGAATCTTGCCTCGAATTCGGGATTCTTCTCCTTTACGTGACGTTTTCGCAGTTTATGGATAACAAACAGAAGATTAGATTTACCACATCGACGTACACTTCGATCGACGTATCTCTCACTTGTGTCACTCGATGAATTATCCGATATTTTTGAAGGATAACACGAACCCTTTTTCTTTCTTTTCTCCCGAAAAACTTTATTCTTAACCTAGATCGTTAGAATGGTACAAATGAGATAGCAGCAGCTTTAAGAGAGAAACAGGGCAGGGGTAAGCAAGGTCGCATGGCGTCTCGGTTCTGTAAGCAACATCGTAGGAGTCGACTCGTCTCACGTCGTCGACGTTGCTAAGAAAAAAAAAAAAAAGAAAGAAAGAAAGAAAGAAAGAAGAAGAAAAGAAGAAAGAAATAACGCGTGTACGTTATTGGAGATTCGATATAAACTTGGTGCAAATATCGTACCTTAATATCAATCGAAGGGCATCCTCCACGAAGGAATCGCCAGGCGGACCCAGCAAAGTTCTCGCCTCGCAGATCGTTCTCAGCGTACACTCTCTTCCCGGCAAGTTTTGGCTGTAAAGCAAAAAGTTTCCCCTCGTGGAATGCGGTGACGAAATAGAAAACACGCACACCTGTTCGTACCTGTTCAACGCCATCTCAAAAGTGGCATACAACTCTCGCCGATGGCGTCGTTTCACCATCCACGGCCTCTTCTTGTACTTCTTCTTATACTTCTTCTTTTGGTAATCCTCCGTGGTCGGTATGGGCCAGATCACGTCGAACTCGAACACCAGGTTCCAATTACTAGGCAATTGTACGGGAATCGGTTGCAAGATGGACCCTGTCATCTGGAAACAGAAAAAAAAAAATCCCAAAAACCATTACCATTGGCCAGAAATCGAACGAAGCATCGATCGAACGAAGAATGGACCCTCTTCCATTCGTTTTCGCGAGAAAATTGCGTTCTTAAAAACCGTCCCTGCCGAGAAATCGACGCGATTATCCTCGAGAGCCGTGCTCTTCCAACTCTTCGATCCGCAGGTAATTCTGCCGAGAACGCACTTTTCCGCAACGCTCCCGCTGCGCCACTCGAAAGCAAACTACGCGACACTTACCACGAACGTACTGCCCTGTGGAAAAGCGAGACGCCTCCGCCTGGACAGCACCAACTCCCGCGATCTTCTTTGACAAGGGACGGCGTGGTCGGTGTCGTTACGCAGCTGGCACCCGAGGAGCGGCTCGAGGATCCTTGCGAGGATCAGCATCACCGGCCACAACCTCCTCATTTCTCGGAATTATCTGAGCTGAAATCAGCCGTTTCGATGGCCGGCTCACACCTCTCCCGGGAGAAGCGGGTCGAGGAGCAAGTTTTTCTGGAAGGACGGCAACATTATTCGCCGGTTGAAGAGTGCACGGGTAGTCCGAGAGTAGTACGGGTTTTGCTCGACTACCCCGCACTCCGCGCCTTCTCGCTCGCGTGTTTGAACTTCGTGTTATCGCTCCTGCTCGTGTTCGCTCTCTTATGTTACGTAACGAATCCTCCTCGTGGATGATGAATCCGTCCTACGAATTCGAAAGATTTAGATTTCAAAGAGGATCGATATACATACACATTCCTTTCTTCCATCCAATGATAAATTTCCATCCAGCTGGAAGATGTCGAACACGAGGCTCGATTAACGTGAAATTTAAATTTTTACGAGGAGAGAAAATCGCGAATTCCTATCGAATTCCTATATTTCCCCCTCATCCTATGCATCCTCGTTATTATAATTAATATTAACAGTCTCGTTTCGACGAGATGACGAAAATGACTGTTGTATCTGGTTGGATCGCTGTTCCATTTCGTCCTTATAATTACAGAAATTATCCCGACCGAGGATAAACAATGAACGCGTGTACACGCGAAGAGGTTTGACGAATGGAAAATAGGCGGGCAATTAACGTAACGCAACGAATAACGTTCGCTCATAATTGCTGACCTTTTTTTTCTCTTTTTTTTTTTTTCGGTGGGAAAGAAAGGCGGCGGTCAGGCATCGGGGATTCATTTATTCGCGAAAGTATTGGCCGGCTGTAATTTCGGGGATTCCCCGCGCTCGTTTAAAATGCAGCGACCCGTTTAATTAGGGGCCATCGGGCAAAATCGGCTCGTCTCGGACGTCGGATAAATCACTCGTCGAGGGACTCCGCGACGGGGGAAAAAAAAGGAGGGGGGAGAGGGGCCCCAAAGTGAAATTATCTCGCGAAACGCGAGGCCAGGCTCGTGGTCGTGGAAGTGGAACCACTTTCAAAGTTTCGTGAAATTTAGGATTTGGGTTCTGACGATCGAGGTCGTGACGCGAGAATCCTATCTTGATCAAATTGAATCAGAATGATCACAATGGAATAAAAACGATGAAATTGAAAATTATAAAATGGAAAAAGCGTTGCAAGAAGATTGATTGATACGCTCGAAGATTGAAAGGATAAAAAAGAATTGCCAAGTAAAGCTTGGAATATTATTATTGCTTATTTCTTCGGGATAATATAATAAATTCCATAAATATCAGTGGCTAGATTAAAGAATGTGCTTGTACGTATCGTAGGCGGTTGTAAACGAAATTAATTTTAGTTTTGCAAAGTTTTGTAAATAAAAAATATGGCGGTAAAAAAAAGTGGAAAGCTTCTACTTTTCACATATCCAACTTTTATTGCGTGGAAACGAGGTGGAACATATAAAAAAATCACCCACAAATCATCACATTTGTGAATTTCTGAACACGAAGTTATTAACTTTAAACTCAATTTAACAAAAAAAAAAAAAAAAAAAAAAGAATAAATGAAAAACTTATTGATAATTTATAAATTAAATAGATGTCATATCCGTTAAATAAAATTGAAATTTAAATGCTTCTCGATAAATTTACAGATTATTTCTCAACTATTGAAATATGACCGATCAATTATCGATTAGTTCTCTACGCCGTATATAATATATGCTTTTGTTTAATCTGTAAACATTTAAAGAAGAGTATTTTAAAATTTCAACGAATAAGAGTTTTAACGTATGGTTATTATACATTGCATCGAAACAATTATTTTTCACATATTTGAAAATAAATTTTGTCCACGTTATTCACTGTACACGACGCTGTAAGGATGAAATTCTTCGCTAGCAGCTCATGAATTCTCTTCGATGCAAAAACAAGTGAGAATTGATCACCGTTGGAGATGCAAAAAGAGCAGTTAGCGAACAATCGTCAGTTTCTAAATTTAAAAAAAAAAAAAAAAGAAAACGTGTCGTGAATATTGAAAACGAGATTCACAGGATTATATTTATATTTAAGAAAAGAATGTGGAATCTAATTAAGTGTTTCGCTCGAGAAGTCTTTTTACATCCAATTCTGGTGCAATTTTAAAATTGCAAATGATGTGCAAATCGTCGTTTCCAAACACGAAATTCCACGAGGTCGAAATTCGAACGAAAGAGGGAAAGAGAGAAAAGGGGGGGGGATGGCTGTTAATGGCGGGTGATTCGAGCGCAAGCCTCGGCTGACGTTCTCAAAGGGGGAATTGCGTTACATCGAAATGTGTGCACGCGCAAACACGCGGTCGAAAGCGAGATACGAGCGCGCGTGCAAGCAAAATACCGAAACCAGGCCGCAATCCCCGGGAAGGATGCGTGCTCGAGCACATGCCACGATATTATTCCAGGCCGCGGTGTTGTCCTAGGGCTAATGAATCCGCCGATAACTCTCTCCACTCCACGAATACCGACACCTTCGCGTCGTCTTCCACGCCCTTCCACAACTTATTATCCTTAGGTAGATTCGAGAGAAATTTTTTAGAAGCTGTAATTTTTGTAAAAGTGTGAACAATTACCGATTGATTCTCGACAATTTGTTTACGAATCATCATCGTTGTTCTAGTAAAAAAAAAAAAAAAAAAAATAGATAGAAACAACAACGTCGAAGAAGAGAGTGGCAATTTTTTAATTCGTTCTTCGAACAAGAGACGAGTGACGTTCGTTTTATTCATAATTTTTGTAGTGTAAATTACGGTGATTGGAACGGATTGGTTCTCGATAATTAATGGAAATTTTTCTAATATATGATATTTTTCATTCTGTCGAAGAAGAGATTGATAATATTTTTATTCGTTCTTTTTAGAAGAGACGAGTATCGTTCGTTTTATTCGCGGATTGATTAAACAATTTTTGGAGTAAAAAGTATGGCGCACAATCCGTGGCACAATTATTCGGTAAATTAAGAAGAAAGATTCTCTCAGAACATATCCGGACATTTCCACTCCACTTCGTTGCAATTCTCTTTTAGGAAGTAAGCTCTCTCGTACTCGGTCGTTGTATCAGCATCCTCGTAATTCGCCGGCAATCTGAAACGTGGAAACTTCTCTGAATTATTATTAGAGAGAGGATTATCAAAGAATATTCCATCTAAACAATCCGCAAACTGCGAAACTCGGAAGGAAAATTTCATCATCGATCGGAATCAGTATCGAATTTTTTCACTGTCCCCTTCTTTTTCTCTCCTTGGTCACTTTTCGAAAGCCTATATTTCGAGATATCCGAAAAAAGTCTCATCGCCTTTCTCATCGAAATAATTATCGGTGGAGGCATCTCTGGAGGACAAAGCAACGAGCATCGAACCACGGAGGAAGAAGAGGGTCGCGGCTTCTCGCAGCGCCCGGAAACTTCATAACGATTATTAAAATGGAACGGAGGGGGGAGAGAAGTTGTCGAGGAGGAATTCCGCGAGTGGCCTCGACGAGCTTTCCTCCCCCCCCCCCCTCCCCCTCCAACTTTTCCTCGATGCAGCCGGGGGGACGACGACGTTAAGCGCAACACCGGATGTCATGAATAAATTCAACGTGTTATCGAAAAAGTGTAACGCGACCGGCTTGTCACGCGGCCCCCCTCCCCGACTTCGAACCGAGTTCTCGAAAAGACGCGAGACGACACTTTGATAACGGATGCATCCTCCGTCATCCTCCCTCCCTTGACTTTATTTCCCATTTTTCTTTCAAACTCGACGGAATTTTAAGGAGAGGAGGAAAAAGAAAAAAGAAAAAAATCAACGTTCGATTAATCAACCCCCTCGATCAACCATCCCCCCTTAATCAATCTTTTCGGTAATCATCGTTTAACCATTCCACCGTTTCCCACTTGGCGATCGTCACCTTCTCGACGAACATTTGATTAATCTGCGTTTTCCATTCGTTCCGCCATCTTCTCCCCGCCTATTCAATATTCCATCGATCAATCTTCCATCGGATCTTCCATTTTCGATCGAGCCGGCTGATTGAAAAGTCCAACGAACCGCGTATAACATCGCGCCGTTTCATTTACGAGCCAACAAACGCTAATTACCCCATTCATCTTTAATCGACCTCCCCCCTTTCCCATCCACTTTGCTCGAGATCGCGATTAATCCTTAACGAATTCGAGCTCGTCGAATTTCCAAACCTTTTTTTTTTTTTCTTTTTTTCACTTTTAAACAAAAGTTAATATTTACTTTCGTTCCCAAAAATACCACCAAAGACGCCACCTTGGCTCTATTTCGAGTTCTCTGTCCCGAAACAAAGCGGAGAAAAGAAGAAAGGGGGAGAGAAAAAGAGGAAGAAGAATATATATATATATATACTCACGTGAACACCGCGTGGAGAATCTCCCGCATGAAAGGGCCCTTCCCAACGTCCCTTCGACTCCTCCCAGCTGCGTTGCAGATCGCCTTCAAAACGCACCCTCTCCCGTCCTTGCCCCGGCTGTGCGGTATGGAACACAATACAAGGTGGTTTAGAGATGGGAGAGGAGGGGGAGGGAGAGGATCGTTTATCATTATCAGCCTCGTTATCGTCCCTCGACTGCGAGTCGTGGTGCTCCATTCATTAAGTTCGCGATAACACCCCATCGGTGCCACGAGTGTAAACCGGCCAACGTTTACAACCGCTCTCCCTCTCTCTCCTCAGTTAACCCTACCTTCCTCAACGTCCCCTGTTAAACGAATACCAGGCAATTACCTGGAGCACCGTGGCGCTATTAAGGTTTCCAAGCTGCGGTCCACCGATGCGATCCATCGAGATTCGCGATAAACGCCGAGGAATTCGAATTTTCGGCCGAAAAAATCGAACGGAGATATCCCTTCCTCTCGAATTGGCAACGATGCGGTTTACGGTAGATCAAGGATTGGAGGAAAATTGGACTGTTGAGGATACGTAAATTTTTTAATGGTCGAGATAAGGCATTGTAATTAGTTTAGAACACGTAGAGGTGATTGGATATTTAAGGATGTAAATGAGAACTACGTTGAGGTGCGTGTCGCGTCGCACATGCCATCCTTGATCCCGTTGCAAACATAGTTACAGTCTAGCTATAGAGTCGGGAGGAGGAGTTTACGATCATAGGTCGATGCAAATTTTCAAAATGTAGGGAAATTGTTATTCGAATACCAAATGTTTAAGCCAGAATTTTTTGCCAGAAACGTCGAATCTTCTTCCTTCCTTTCTAATCCATGCAATATGCGCGGAGTGGTTCGCCAGATATCATTGCCCAGTGATTTTTTATTATTTATCACCCATATAAAATGTTTCAAACGGAATTGAAAGTGTCTACTTATACGTTAGGAAATATTTTAACTCGAAGTAATATCCGGTGAATAAACCACTCTGAGAAATCTGTTTTGGAAAGAATTATAGAATTCGATGGAAATTGTTACTCGAGTTCCAAACGTTCAAGCATTGCATTAATTTTCTACCAGAAACTTGTCGAATCTTTTTCCATAATCCGCGCAATATACGGTTCACCAAATATCATCGATGGTTTTCATTGCTGTTCATCAAAAAAAAATGTTTCAAACGGAGTTGAATATTTTACCTAGTAAAATATATAGAAGCAATATCTGGTGAACACTACATTCTTCAAACGTTTAAGCATCGCATTAATTTCCTATCCTTCCAATCTTTGCGGAAGAAACTTCTTCGAATCTTCTTCCGTGCATAATCCATGCGTAATATTCACCAGATATCATTACCCAACAATTTTCATCAGTGTTGTTATCCGTTTATTATCAAAAAAATGTTTCAAATTGTAATTGAACGAACGGTTTTCACTTATTAGTTAAGAGATATTATTTTAACTCGAAGTAATATCCGGTGGAATGTACCATCCCCCGTCTCACATTCCGAGACTCGTGTGTTATTAAAATTAGGACAACCGATGTTGCCGCTTGCTCGAGCTCGAATGTCACCCTCGAATACGAAACTCGGCTCGTACATGCGGTACATGCGGATCCGGTTAAGAAGCCGCAATCAAGAGAACAATGGAAGGAGCGAGAGAATTCGAGAAGAAACGGAGAATTCGAGAGAAATAATTCCGAACGTATTTCCACCAACAGTTGCGGATGCATTTCCAATTGTGACAGTTTACCAATTCGCGTGTATTTATCGTCTTCTGCGCTGGGGAGAGAGAGAGAGAGAGAGAGAGAGAGAGAGAGAGAGAGAGGAGAGG